AAAGCGGAGGGACCTACAGTTTTACGCCGACTCCGAACGGCGATTGTATTTTATATGAGAAGCTGTTTTTCATGTCAGAAATACAATCGGAGGTTTGCCATTGCCTGCCGAGGGACGACCGCTGTTAAGAAAAAACTTTTTTCTATATTTTTTGCGTTGTTGCTTTGACTAGGGTTTGATCCCAGGTGCTGCGGAGTGGAAGCGCGCACTGCTTACCACTACACCACAGCGGCCGATGTATAAAATTGCTTTAACAAAAATACCAAACGATTTCTTAGTTTAACTACCATTTGAATGGGACACTGTAAAGAACTCTCTTTTACCCTTCTGCACTCAAAGATGAATTTAAGCCAAAACACTTAATTTTCACGAGCGATGTATTTGTGTTTTTAAATATGAATTATACGCTTTCGTTTTCAATAAAAATGAGGTTTATATAATCTTCATAGAAATTGTGACTGGTGGGACATCTCCTTGTGACTGGTGTTAAGTAAGGCTGACTTCCAAAACGTATCAATACAATGTTTGGAAAATGTCATACTGCGTTATTCCAATTGTTTGTATATGCAGAGTTGCAACACATTGCAACCATATATATTGCATTTTTGAAATATTCAATATAGCAATGAATTAAGATAGAAAAATGTAATCTTACCCTTCGATGTCGGCCATTGTTTACTTCGAAATGTCATCAAAGTATTAATTAGCTTAGCGATGCGTAGTTTGTTTCTGTATACGCATCGATAACTTTTACGATACATTTTGGGACATGCCATATCGTCAAAAATTACACATTTGCATTTAGAAATGCGTGACTTTGTATAGTTGCTTTGTAACTGACGTTTTGGAACTATGCCTAATTGTGCATGAAATAAAAGGTTCTATAGACAAAAATTACAACTTCTTTTGATTTTTTAGATGTAGATATTTAAAAAGAGGTTACCACTGAAATAGAGATACTTAGGGCATATTTAAATTTATGTCGTTGCTCTCTTTTCAATGGAATGACCCCATTACAAATAGGATTCAATAAGCATTTTAGGTCTCAATAAAACATGCTTGATCTGAACCTTAAATATTTAAATTCCTTAAAGGAGTATGATTTTTATGAACTAAAAACAGCTAAAAAAAACTTATTCAAAAGGCCTTCTGGAAGCTCTCCTTTGAGTAGCAAAAGCAGAAGCCCATCAATTTGTGCCACTCCTTAAAAAGGAGGAACGAGAAAGGAGTGACTTACTGAAAGGCCTTTTGGAAGAGATTTTAACTCCTGCGTAGTATGTGTGACCTTCAGCCGTGTAGCTGTTCAGGAACTTGCACTTTTTTGGCCTAATAAACTAACTAGAAAGAAGGTAAAATCACCAAATATTGCTCAACATGTTAGAAAACATTTTTCATTATCGATTTTCGACTAATAATGCTTTTTTTTATATATTTATATAGTCAAAATCTGCTAAAGATTAGATGGGTGTCTGCATGGGCCTTCATTAAAAAACTAGGACAATTTAAGTGCGGACCAGGACACCAGGACAATTTGTTTAAATCAGGACAAATCCTGGAAAATCATGGCGTCTGGCAGCCCTCGAGTAAGAACGTGTGACGTAAAAAAAATTTGTTCACAGCCAACGTTTTGGCATAAGTCTAGAATATGAACCAATTAGCTATGCAAAAACCAAAAATTTGGCTCGATAGAACTTCCTTGACTTCAGCTGTACCAAAATTATTTGGCGCAAAAATATAAAGAAGATATAAAAGGTTAAATTAAATGGTTTTGATTTTTTTAAATATTAATATTAGAGTTGGGCACTTTAGTTCGTTTGAGTAAACCATTCAGTTGTAGTTCGTTCACTAGTTCTTTAGTTAATATAGTTCAATTGAGGAATACATTTACATATCGACATCTGAGTGGAAGATCGACCTATCTCGGCAGCCAGTTCGAAAACGCCCTATCTCAACGTATTTTCAATAGTATATTTTCAGTTGAGATAGGGCGTTTTCAAATTATGTTGTTGTGCAAAAACACTAAATTAGTACGTTTGTTTGATTTTAAAAGCGTTCTACGCTAATTTAATATTTTCTCTGCGCCCGAAAAATAGTAGCTATGACAAATTTAGTTCATTAAAAAGACCGAATTAGTGAACTAGTTCATTGAGATGAACTAGTTATTTAGTTCAAGCACTACCCAACCCTAATTAATATCCTATGAACTGCATAACTGATAAAAAACCCCAATGAAGTGATGAGTAAACACAATTAATTTATCTTTCAGTTGATGCACATAATTTCTATGTTTTTTTTTTTTATCCAAAAATACTTAAAAGAATTTAAGAATTTAGTGGTAGTGAAAGAAGTTCTGCGCAAACATACTACGATATTACCCGTTTTGCGCGTCTGGCAACACCGACGTTATTGCCAACGAAAAATCAGCTGTTTATGGTTATGGTTATGGCAATGGTTATGCCCTGCAAAAATCGCGACTACTCCATGCATGCGTGTAAAGAGTACTCCCTAAGGACCAAGGAGTACTCCAAAATTAACCACAATTCATATAAAAAATATGGTCCAATTAACATTGCGATGTGCTAGGGCAGGACCATATACTCCATCCCCGCATTACATCAGAGTAGCACAAAACTACTCCAACATAATAACAATGGCATTGTTGCTATATTTTTTCGTTTGTACACGCTTTTGTTCTTAAAATTAATAAAAACCAAGACAAAAATTAAAAATTATATGGGTCGTTCTTAAAAAACATGACCAATTGGTGTCCCCAGACTTTACTATTTTATATTTTGTTTCTTCAAAAAGAAAATAGAAAAATATCTGCATTTTTATAAATTATTATCGATTCTACGTAACTATATTATAAAAAAAAATAATTAATTATCTGAAAATAACTTAAAAAATATTTTCAATCTCAAAGGTTTAGCAAAAACCTGTGTCCCGAGCCAATTTATAAAAATTTAATAGTTATTTTCAGTTGAAATAAAATTGAAAAAAAATAATATTTACAATTTTTGTTATTCAGTTTGTGTATATTAATACCATATATAGAAAAGAATGATGAAAAATAATTTTTTTGTATAATTTTTATGAAGAAAATTTGTGTCCCCAGGTTTTGGTCCCCTCTGTTACGTCCACTCATTTTATTGAAAAATGTTTGTTAAACGTTATGACACGTATATTTCTCTTATGCTTCTCCATCATAACTTAGCTAAAATCAACAAAATGTGTTTTGAACTGTTCAGTCTTGTTTAGTGCGTTGTTGAGTAAGGAACCCAATTGTATGCCGGGTACGTACCCTTATTCAGTGTCAACTCTGTTACTGTTGAAAAACGGTGAGTAAAGTGATTTTTTATTTATTTTATAATTTTTTTATAAATATTTTATGTACATTAATTAAGTGGACAAATAAATTCTCCAAAATTCGAATAAAAAGCTAAAATATGGTATTTTTGAGTTAATTTGTCCCCTCTGTTACCGGTCCACTCTGTGACTTATTAACTCCAAAAACTCCAAAAATTAAAAAAAATACTGTTGGTTATGGATTCCTATTGTTGATACCATCCGTAACCACATGAGGCCAATTATAAACATATTTGGCCAACTTAATTTTTAAAAATTACAAAATTCAGAATGGTCATGTTTTTTAAGAACGACCCATATGTTACCTCTGACGGTATTCGAACCCGAACATGCTGGGAGCTAAGAACTAACAGCGAGCATCTCTACACGTTCAGCTACAGCCAGACATGCAAATGCGCTTTCAAATGCTCAACTTCAATCACGTTTCGTTAAAACACGAGCAGTGATCGGATAACAAACAATAAGCTAGCGCAGAGACACCAGTTGGTCCGCTACAGCATGACAGGGGAACACTTTTGTAAGTACTCCAATTTACCATAAATAGACTACATGATCCAACGATTTTTGCAGGGTGGCTATGACGTTATGGTATGTCACCCCTAATTTAACCTTAAGTTGCTGTCTGCATTAACGGTTGTCCATCTGCGATTTCCGGCGATCAATAGCTTGTGGAGACTGCTCATCGCAATCGCAGGCTATAGATAGCAGAAATATTTCCTGCTTGCGACCTATTTATAGCAGGCGATAAACTGTCAAATAGTTAGTTTCACAGCTTGTTTTAACTTTGAATTCGGTTTTTCTAATATATTTATATTTTTCGGAATACAGTAATTTTCGTCATGTGGAAAGTACTCGTAAGCACTTTTTGAAATGAAATCTTCTGCGATGAGATGCGCCCTGCGATGAGCATTTCGCATGCGATCAAACTGACTGATCTCCTGCGATGGCTGTACGCTAATGGAGGCAGCAACTCAGGGGCGTTAAAATTGGAGGACTAATATATATGTAGCACGCTAAGCTCTTCTAATTACTCTGCTATTTACGGGTAAAAAACGATCCGCAGACTTAGTGGGAGTTATGCAAGTATGTATTCATTTTAACAATGAAAACCAACAAAATGTCGCGTGGACGCCTAATATTTGCGAAAATGAAGTGTTATATAATACCCATTCTTTGGAACGCTAGGTGTTTTTATAAGCGTCAATTGCTTTTATTAGTACGTGCAAATCGCTTGTGATAGAACTGTCACCCCACCCGTAATCAATAATCACTTTAATATATGTATGTATTAATGATGACGCAAAAATTTAAATGCTGTCAGTTATAAAAGAAACAAATCTTCACATGTACGTACATATGTACATATGTAAGTAAATATGTATGTATGTATACCTAGATACATGTGTATTTCGTCTGTTGGCATGTCACCGAAACAATTTTATTTATAGCAGTTATAAATGCATGATCAGGGCCTTTGCAGATAAGATTACGAATATGTATATGTTTTTACTTACGGAAGAATAAAGATGTATAAAAAAATCTTTATACATACATATGTATGTGTATTTACTAAACGACTGTCGCAACTCAAAAACCTGAATTTTTGAGACAGTGATGCAGAATTACTCATTATATTATGCTTATTATACTTTAATCTTGTGTGTTTCCGCGTGAGAAGTGAATGCGCATCTCCGTTATCTGATTGGAGAATTCAATTGAAAGCTTTAAACGCGTCTCCTGAATATCGTATCTTTTGGTTTGTGACAGTCTTTTAGTAAATGTGCGATATGGCGTGATCGGCGGGTGACATTCAAAAACTGGTGACTTTAAAGTACATATGTATGTACACTCAGAAAAAAGCATTTCCTTAAAACAAGAAACCAGTTTAATTATTTTAGAGCTACTGTTTTTTCCTAATATTACGAAAAATTTACTCAATTTGAGAAGTTTTTCCTTAATTCAGGTTCATGCTAAAAATAGTGCGTCATTAAAAGTAAATTTACTCAATTTGAGAAGTTTTTCCTTAATTCAGGTTCATGCTAAAAATAGTGCGTCATTAAAAGTAAATTTACTCAATTTAATTAATAATTTTCTCAGTGCTGTTAAAACGAAGCTAATTGCTTTCCTGGTACTCTAAAAAAACGGCTAATATGTATATGCACGGAATATCAGCGCTCAAGACGGCTGCACCAAAGAGAAGTTCGGCTACTTTATTCTCTTCAAGAACCGTTTAGGCAGAAAAGGAAGCTGATGAAAGCGGTAACTAAGAACAGCGAAGGTGATTGTGTTCTAAAGCTCTCAGACGGTGCAACAACAAGTGCCTTGTAACGAGCGAACAATGCCAACTTCTCCGGGTGTTATTGTAAATATTGTTACTACACTTCTTCGTACACAACCCAAACCCCAAATGCACTAGTAAAAGCAGGCAAATTTTCCCATTAACTAGCCCATCTCACATTTAAAAGTCCGTTGGCTTTCAAAAAAAAGGTCACCTGTTGATGCCATTAAACTTGTAAAGAATTTGCGGAGGACGCCGTATGTGCTGGGTGTGCTCCTGCCACGTAAAAACCTCTTCCAATGAAAAGTTCAATTTAGTCTCGAATGAGACACCTGGACTATGGCTGATCGTCTTCTCAAGATCGAAAAACTAAATTGATCATGTTGATCCAGTGTTTTGGACGTACGTACATATACTCCGAGGGGCATTGTTGCAGGCATGATACGCAACCTTCTCTGTGCAGCAAAAAATTTGCGTGTAATGCAAGGAAAGAGCAACGTCGAAAAGCTGCAATCACAAGATATGGCCAATTTATTCGCCATTTGTTTCTCTCACCCGCTTTCAGAGAGTAATCTTCAACAAACCGACACATGCGTGCCAGGTTTCCAGCATATTAAGAACCGCCGCCGAAGAAGTAGTCCGATATTAGCGAGCCTAAATCAACCACTGGTAGGACGAGCAATGTCACGAAGCTGCATTTAAAAAAAGATACCGCCTACAGGGCCATTCTATTAGGCGCAACGCGCTGTGTGGGAGAGATATAGAGAGCTGAAGAGGGAAGCCAGACATATTTGCCGCAATAATATACTTGAGTGTGAGAGGAAAACCCCCGAGCATTTCACGAGCAAGTTAGACGACTTACGGAAGGTTCCAAGACCAGAGGGAACACCTGTAAAAACAACCTTGGCGGTCTAGTGACCGGTATCCAGTACGTACTTAAAATATGAAGGGAACACTTTCCTACCCAATTGAATGATATCAGCACTTAAAGGAGTGAGGAAGACGAACCCGAGCCCCTAGTCGATGATGATGGAGTCGGTGTCGCACCGCCTCACTATAATGAGAAACGAGTAGCAATTACGGGGCTGAAAAACAACTAAGCTGCGGGAGCTGACAGCCCGCCAGCTGAGCTATTCAATTACGGCGGCGAGGAGCTGATAAGGTGCATGCATCAACTCTTATGCAGAATATGGTCAGATGAACGCATGCCTAACGACTGGAATTTAAGTGTGCTCTGCGCCATACGCGCCAACTACCACGGGATAAGCCTTCTAAGCATAGGTTACAAGGTCATATCGTGCATATTGTGCGAAAGACTTAAGTCCCCCGTCAACAAACTGATTGCGCATTATCAATATGGCTTTAGACCTGGCAAATCCACCGTAAACAAAGTGTTCATAATATGCCAAATATTGAAGAAGACCTGCGAGAATCGACGCACACCATCTATTTGTCGATTTCAAACCCACTTTCGACGTCATGAAAATAAGTTGTCTTTATGCCGCATGTCTGAATTTGGTATCTTCGCAAAACTAATACGGATGTGTAAAATGACGTTGAGCAATTCCGCCAGCTCCGTCAACATCGGATGGTTTGATACTAAATGAGGTTTCAGACAAGGTAACTCCCTTTCGTAAGACTTCTTTAATCTGATGAGAAAATAAGAGCCGCAGACTTGAATCGCTCTGGCACAATACTTTACAAGAGCGTACATTTGCTGGCGTATGCCGACGTCACCGACATTATGAGTAAAAACAAGGTCGAAGTCTGTTCTGTCTTCTCGGAATTAGAGAGAGAAGCAACTGATCCACTGATCGGATCTTAACCAGATTAGTATGGGACCACCTCTGAGACACTACCTTTCCGATGCAAAAAAAAAAAAATAAAAAATTGTTGCTTTTTTAGAGAAAAAAAGCGATTTTTCTTGGGTTGTAGTACCTTTTCAAATTCAAATTTGGCAACACTGCTTGTTGGCAACAGTGATTATCCGCCGGATTTCAAGCCTGACTGTTTGTTTGATTGGTGAAGATGCTTCATTTTGTCATCGTTCACCCCAAACTTACACGCTTTGCTTCTCTCTATAATTCCGAGAAGGCAGAACAGACTTCGACCTTGTTTTTACTCATAATGTCTTATATATATATGTGTATATATGTCATATATGACATTTTTGAATAGCACTTCCAGTGTTTGAACAGTCAAAGAATAATTCACGTTTTATTTTTAAATTATTTTTAACCGACTTCCAAAAAAGGAGGAGGTTATCAGTTCGTCGGAATATTTTTTTTTTTTTTTTTTTTTTTTTTTT